TAGGCTGTCAAATTGGAACAGGGCCTTCAGTATAAAAGGTGTCTTTAATCTTGCACGTAAAAAACGAACTCATATGTCTGTGGCATGGGGGGAGAATTACTTGATGGCCCTCCAAAAGGCCAAATGGGTGGGGTCCTGCTGAATCACCAGTGGGAGGGTGTTCCATATGGTGGGAGCAGCCACGGAAAAGACAGTAGGATCTGATCTAGTGGGATGGGCAGATATTCTTAGGGAGAGGCGGTCCCACAGATAACTGGATCCCGTGCCATGTAGGGCTTTAAGGTGATAACCGGCACCTTGAATTGCACCAGAAGGAAACTGGGAGTCCGTGCACCTCACACAATGGAGGTGTAACATGGGCGAACCTATGAACACCCAATACTGTGTGTGCCACTACATTCTGTACCATTTGCAACTTCCGAGTGGTCTTCAAGGGCATCCCCATGTACAGAGCATTGCAGTAATCCAAATGGGAAGTGACTAAGGCATGTGTGACCGTGAGCAAAGCTTCCCGATTCAGGAAAGGGCGCAATTGGCACACAAGACAGATCTGTGCAAAGGGCCCCTAGCCACAGCTGCTACCTGCTCTTCAAGCAGGAGCCATGAGTCCAGGAGGACCCCCAAATTGCACACCAGCTCAGTCTGGGGGAGACCAATGCTGTCCAGAGTCAAAGAGGATAAGTCACCAGACCCTGGCAGGCCAAAACCCCAGAGCGACTTTGTCTTGCCAGGGTTGAGCCGAAGTCACTGCATCCTCCATCCAGACCCTGACAGCCTCCAGGCCCTTGGACAGCCCCAAAACAGCATCACCAGAGAAGTATATCTGGGTATCGGCAGCAGCACCCCCAGCCCACTCCTGTCTCTCACACGAGGGGAGCAAGAGGGCCCCACCATACCTGGCCCCCGCTCCACCTTCCAAACCATTTAAAAGCTCCTGGTTCATACCAATGTCCTCAATCCGGGTGCCAGCACTTCAGTGCCAGGTCCCCCCAGACAGGAAGGGAATCCACTAAAATGGCTCTTTGCAATGTGACCGCTTCAGCAGCAGCTGCAAGACACAAGGCAGCCCCCCCTCCCCCGACACACACAGGTCCACTGCCTTGCTCCTGCTCCCACTGCCACAAAGTGCCAGGCCACCTGAGTCCTCCACTCCACTGGGACTCCTATGGACCCCGTAGCCACTGCCAATTTCTTGTCCTGTGCCGGCCTCCTCTGTCCCTGTATTCTCTGTGGTGGGAGACCCAAGATGGAGGATGAGAGGGTAAGCTGCTAGTCTGTTGCTGCTAGCTCTGCCATGCTGCTGGGTCCTCTGGAGTCCAGTCCATGCCACCCATCAGCTGGAGCAAAGGCAGATGATCCACAGCAC